CATTTTCTCATTGTTTTCCTATAATGTTATTTTTTCCGATTATCTGAAAACAGCTTTTTCCTAGTTACAACTCTGACACGGCTTTGGCATTTTGCACTCTCGTATAACAGCTTTCACTGTGTAATTGAATATTAAAACTTTTTTTTTTTTTTTTCAAGTACGGAAATTAAAGATTCATATGGTTATATTAATAAAAGATATTCATCATTTCTAAGCATCATTAATAAGAACATTAAAAGCAACGTTAATTAATACGTAAATGCATCCTTAAACATTATTTTTATAATATTTAAGAGTTGTATATAAGTCGTCATATTGAAATGTATTTTTATTTGTGTAGTTTTAATAAGAACGAATTTGGGATAACTGTAGATGCTTATTTTTATTTGTGAAAAATATTTATTGTTCTTTGTCCTTTCTAGTTCGTTATATTAAAGTCATCATGTTGATGGCTGTAATAATTTCTTAGAACATTTAAATATCCAGAATTTTTACTAACAAAAAAATAAAAAAAATAGAAAAAAAAAGAAGAATATATATATAAAAGTTCGTATTCTTGTTTCAAAATTTATTGTTATTATAATTTTTCCATTGCATCAATGACTTTTAAGTTCATCTTGTTTTTTTTTTGTCTTCTTTTTTGTAACTATTTGTCAATTTGCATGACTTATTCTTTTACATCATCGCATAACATATATTTTTCTTTTTTTACTATTTAAATAGGTTTTAAATAATAATAATTAAGTATCATCATTATCGATCTATATGTAACTTTATGTATGTATAATGTCGATCTTTGTTATCTTTATTGTGTCTATTAAATTATTTAACGATATAAAAGTAAAAATTGATTATATATAATTCAATTCAAAGGAGGCCTACAAACTAATTGGATAATACGAGATTTAATCTTGGCTAAAATATGAGAGCGTAACTTTGTCCCTGAAAATTTATGTAATGTATGTGAAATACACGTATTATGAATAAAATATAACCAATAGCAGAGCTTAATCGGATAGTAATATTATCCTTAAAGTCCTCAACTATTATTAGGAGAATTGAAATTGAAATTTATAAGGACATAGTTATAAATAAAGTAATTTCTTTTTTTTTTCTTCTCTTTCTCATTCTCTTTCTCCTTTACAAATAAATTCCGAGAGAATATTGGTAAGTATGATTGATATTTTGTTTGTTCTGCAGTAGGAAAATTTGCAGATAGAGATAATCCTAGTGTTCGGAAGACGCGCAGCATGAAACGCATTTTAAATAAGCTCTTACATTTCCTGCTCAAGGTGTATTTGCTTTTATTGCGAAGGTGCATGTGCATGAGCTCGTTAGGGTCGGGCTCGCGATACGCTTTGCGCCGAGTGCGCAAAAACTTACGGGCCCAGGAAAAAGCCGTGAAAAAGCGCGCCTAGAGAGCTGAAACTTCTATTTACAAATGTTATTTTACATGATATGTATGATGTCATGCAATGAATTTTTATCTTTAGACTCTATGATTGCCGAAGGGACAAACTTTTATCGTGTTTGTTTTTTTTTTTTCTTCTTATCATTAAGGTCTATGGATGTTATAATTCTGCAATGAGATTAAAATGGCTGTGTAAGGAAATATATTTAAAAAATAACAATATTTCTCGATAAATTATTTTGTATTCGTTGCTTTAAATCAATCCTGTTCGAAAGACCGACGATAGACATGAGCCTACTATCAAAAATTTCATGCCTCAATCATCAAATGGCTAAGCAAACATATAAGCCAAATGTAAACAATTCGCTTGTCAAGAAATATCACTTTTAATGATAAATGATAAATGACCGAGCATAAAATGCGTCGAATGGAAAATCGAAGACGTAATGATAAAAGGTGGCGGGGTGAGGAGGGGGGGGGGGTGTGACTCGAGGGAACGACAAACGAGCGGTCGATAATGCGCATAAAGCAACAATTTGTCTGTTAGTTGATCGAAGCCAGTTAATTGTTGAGTGAGCGAGCGATTTATTTAAGAGGCTCTATAAAGTTCAGGATTAGTTTTTTTACATTTTGCAGTCTGCGTAAATGAAACATTAGGCGCGAATATGACACCGTGGAAGCGATTGTAAATCGCGAGCTACCCGTGCGATCGCTGAATTTGCGAGTCCTGTCGGCATCAGCGAGTCACGACGAGGATCAGCGGGGCGCGTGCGCGTCCTCTTTCATTTTCCGGTTTTGCTCCTCGCTTCCCACACATTAGCCGTATCGCCCTGTCGGCGGTGTATCCGCGCACTCGGCGAGACCCGGCTCAGTGCGCTCGAAAGTCTCGCTCGGGGAGCAGCGACGCTGAGAGCTTCGTCGCGCCTGCGCCCCGACGTCCTTCTCACCCTCTCTCTCTCGAGCTGATTTTACAGGCACCGCCTCGCGCGACAGTCTTCCTTCTATCTCCACCAGTCGAAACTATCGGCCCGCGCCGGCCTCATACGCGCCCGCGCGCGCGCGCCTCCTATTTCTCGCCGCCTGTCGCTTTAATCGTTCGGCCAATTTGTCAACCAGTGATTTATTATGTGACACGTGCATGCGTAAGTGTATTAGCGATCTAATCGCAAGCGTTACCACTTTTTACCCGATGTCCCATGCATTGCCGAGGTAGTAATTTTGGGACGTAGGAGCGCGGGAGTCGTTGGTTTAAAAATTTTCTAATGCCAGCCGCTGTTGGTCGGGCAGAGGAGGAGGATCGATAGATGTTTAGGGTGCATTGGGAATGTTTTTGGTCGGGAAATAATTATGGATAATTGATTGTGAGGAATTTTGGAGATATTTTTATTCGTGAGCTTAATTACGATAGTGCGAAAGATTATACGTCGCGCGCTATTTGCCCAAGTAAAAACATTATGCGTTTTTAATATTAGAAATTGTCTAGATGTGCGTCCTGTATACCAACTTAGCAAATCGAAGGTCTTTGAGGGAACCAAAAAAAAAAACATTATTTGATTTTACAGATCTTCGAAGGACGCCGAATGAGATATTATGATATTTAGAGTCTTGTAAACTCTGCGGTAGACCAAAAAAACTCCCATCGCCGTCACTTTCTCTCTCTCTCTCTCTCTGTCTCTCTCTGTCTTTCTCGCTCTCTCGCTCTCTCACTCTCTCGGTCTCTTAAAATATTCATTAAAATATGTATATTTCAATACATCGCAGTTGTTTGTTGAATAAGAGAAGAGTTAAAACCATTTTCCGATGAATAATTCCATCGAATACCTGGCTTTGACGTAAATTATTGCTTGTGTCAAGCAAATAAATGGGTTCTTTCGAGATCCGAGACAAAGAGTGTTGTATTAACGTAAGCAGAGCAAGTTATTGTTTAAGAGCAATATTAATTTTTAAGTATTTTAATTTTATTAGTATCATTTTTAGCAATTGTAATCGAGCTAATTGAAGGAGAAGGAATGGCAATATTAAATTTTCAGTTTTTAGTGTGTTTGGGGAAAGGTAAATTCAAAGTAAAATTTGCAAATTATGCATAAAAATATTTTTCACAAGATAATATATAACAATATAAAGTTAATTTAATAATTAATTTATCAATATTCAGAATTATGTACAGATATTGTAGAACGAGAGAATTTTAAATCGAGGAAGAAATGTACTTTTGTAAAAAAAACACCAGAGGATAAGTGTTAGCCACTTGTCTCTTTTTATCGCAATCAATTGTATTATAAATAAACAGTAACTTTACAACGACGAAAGTGAAGGAAAAGAAAGAGAAAAAATAACGAGATAGAGCCTGGTTATTCATCGAAGCACGAACTATCCATTAAATCGATCGTATATCTATTATTTAAAATCACCTTGTCGGCTTACTTAATGAACCAAGAAATTTTGTCGTTCGCATTATGCTTGGTACGATGCTCCATTGATAAGGAAGCGTTTTAAAAGTATTTTATGCCAATTATACACAAAATATCTCATCGTTCGCTCGTTATTTATTCTTAAAAATTTTCCCATTTGTCTAGGATCTCGAAATGATGTTTACAGTTAAATGTCGGAGAATCGTAAGCTTACGGTGATAATCGGAGCCACAATTCAGCGGGAGGAAGGGGAGGGGAGGGTGTAATAGTTGTAGCGACGTAGTCAATGTGAAGCGAACGTCGGTTCGCGAAGCGATAAACATAAGCAACGAGTTTGTCGGAAATATTGAACGAGAGAGGGCCAATTCGTGGCTAGTCGTCGGGGAAAAGAAAATTGCTTAGTCTACTTGCTCCTTGAACCCTTACGACTCGGGCAAACGCGTCCAAGTCACGCCTCATAAATGCCTACCCTCCGGCTGTCCTTCGAAGGTTAAGTATCTTCGTTTTCTCAAGCCCTTAGGTTCACGAGGGTCTCACGATACGAGGATAAGATCCGGCCGATCGTGCGCTTTCCTCCCTCTTGTGTCATCCGACGGATCAGCCACTCCGGGAGGAGCCAACACCGAGCATCGACGACGGGAAATTAGAAGCCCAACACTACCTACGGCGATATTCAAGGACGAGGAACGGGATTTTAGGGATCATCTGATCAGGAGATTCGAGAAGAGAACACGGGAGTGACTGCACCGAGAGTCTCGATTAGGAGAAAGGAGAAAGGAGCGCAAAGTGTGTCTTTGTGCGTGGGTGCGTGCCGCGTGTGAGTGTCCGAGTGCACATCGTCGGGGCTTATTTTTGCGACGGGTGGAGGCTACAGCTGACGTTATTCTCAAATATATCAACTCAATATATCAAGTGAAAAATAAAGTGGACCGCTCGCTCGCTCGCTGTGAGATCGCCGCCACCACGGCCGCGGCGGCCGCTGCCACCGCCGTCGCCACGAATTAGAATCCTTGTGTACAAAGGCTGATTGGATAAACAAAGCCGGAGGGATCTTGGCTGAATTAGCGAAGACATATTCAGAGGAAATCCCTTTGGAGTGTTTGAGCGCCGTGGAGCTCGTTAAAGGGGCTTGGGGAGGGAGCGAGGGAGGGAGGGAGGGCGAGAGGAAGGGGAGACGGTGGAAAAACGCGAGCGCGGGAGAGAATGAGATTCTTCTGAATATTTGATGGTGATTGGAGGCTGGACCCGTTGCCAGTTGCAGTTACGCGTGGAACAAGTCGGCGTCGTAACCAGGCGCGTTCAAGAAGTTGCCCGGAAGTATGAGTATACGGGGAAGGAGAAGATTCGCGACGGGGTATTGTGACTCGTAAGGGAAGTGGTCAACGATTCGCGTATTCGTCCGAAGTGTCCGGTACGTGAAAAGGACGAAGGACGATGTGGACAAGGTACACGCGAGAAAACCCAGAAAAATGAGGTGCATCCTTCTCGCTTTGGGCCTTCTGTTTGCCGGTAAGTCATTTTAACGTTTTCTCCAATGCACGCATTCGTGCAAATACGAAAGAAACGGATACACGCGTATTTTCGATCACTCGATAAGCCCAGCTAGTGAACGAGAGCGAATGAGTGTGAAAGAAAGAGAGAGAGAGAGAGAGAGAGAGAGAGAGAGAGAGAGAGACAGACTTAAACGCGCACACACACACGCGCGCACACACGCACGCACGCACGCACGCACGTACACAGAGGCGCGTATAATTGAGGTTCGTCTGATTTGGCGACGTTTTCTTTGTTTCGCACTCCAACCTTTTTTCCTACCACCGTCGCTCGAGCGAAAAAAACTCTTGAATTTCATTAGACAAATTCCGGGGATCGTGCGTAGAAACGTAATATTCATACGGATATATACGTCCGTCCAATTGAAAAATACTTTCTCTACTTTTTAATTACTTTGTAGGATTGCAATACCATTTAATCTCGATACTCCGATTCCTATTGATCTCGAGAATCGCTATACGGTATTTAAAGTATAGGTTTTGGCTGAAATTTTTCCATGCGTAAAATAAATCCCCTTACTTGTTATTTCATTTCTATTTTGAAACTGGTGTTGTGTTTAAATTTTTTATAATAAAAACTTTGCTCGCCAGTAAGTTTCCATTAAAAATTATAACCAGCAGCGAGCTTCATATTATATAGGAAAGTAATATAGAAATATTAAGCCCGCGCTAGAAAATCAGCAATGTCAACGAAATATTTTTCTCAAGTATGCTCACTTTAAAAACATAATCATTCTCATTGAATCCCAGTGAATATTTGAAAATATTTAATCCAACTCCAAGTCGAACATACGCAAATAATGTTCCTTGTGAATGAAAAATCTGTTTAATTCAGCTTAACTTCAATTCAGTGTTACTATTACACATTCAAAAGGGATTTGTTGCATCGATAATATTAAAATGTGTAAGCACTATCTAGCTAGAGAATAAATAAACTACAAAAGCAAGTAAATAAATAAGTAATGGCCAACAGCAAATTCATTAAATATCTTTCATGCTAACCGTTTTCATTTAAATATATTTGTTGCGTGGTTAGGCATTAAAGCCGATGCTTTGAAGGGAAATCGTTGATTCTCATTTACAAAATAAAGTGAACAAACTCAGAGATAAGTAATTAACGCTCAAATTAATGTAATAAAAAATGATCTGCGAGTATTTACAGTGAACTTTGAAAGACAAAAAAAAAAAACAGAAAAAAAAAACGTAGAAACATCTATTATTGGCAAATGATGCAAGAGGCTGGAAAAAAGGCTCGACGGTTGTAGGTAGTCGAGTGACAGTTAAAGAAATGATTTAATTATTAAATTAAGAAGTCAGACGATGTTATAAAAAAGCAGCGATTCTTTACGTAAATTTGCAGCTACAATTAGTGCGTGAGAAAATCGTGACAGATGATTCCTGACGAATGTTTCATGTTTACATTCACAGGGAACGTCGTAAATGTTTGCGCGCGTGCGCCGCCACATTCGATTCAGCACGCGGTGCACAAAATTACTTTATTTTCGGGCAAACAGAGCACACTTCGGCGTTCCATTCCCTGACCAAAAATGAAATAACGGACGCACAAGGGAAGGGGGGGGGGAGGTGAGCGCGAAGGAGCGAAAGGATAAAAAGTTGACGAGCTCAGCCGAAGTGGTCGGGGCACGAGAACGACGAGGCTTTTGCATAATATTTTTTGCAAGCAAAACACTCGACCCGCTCTTAGCCCGTTGCGCTGACCATGAAATTTCATTAGCGATAAAGACAGTCTCGAGAGTATATTTCTATGACCTTTGAATTACCGCCTATTATTTTATCCGGCTAGCGCAATAAATTAATTACCATTCTCGTTTGCCGTTTAGTAAAAGCAGAAAAATGGAAAAATCCTGCGTTGATAGAACTGTGCGAGCTTTTGCATCAATTTCGTTGTCCTCTTGCCCTGCTTAAGCTTTAAGTACTGCCCTCGCTAGACGTTATTCTATTCTAATTTGTGCTTTCGACTAGCAACGTTAATTAAAAGAATATGCATTAGGTAACGAAAACTCATAACTTGGAAATTACCGCTAATGTATGCTTTATTACGTATGAAATTAGCCTGTTGTTTTCTAAAATATTATAAGTATCGAATGAGTAAATTAGAAAAACTTGAGGGTTTTTAATTCAAAATTTCCGCTTCGGTAAATCAAATTTTTGTATTATAAAGTAATTTTCACGTGGCAAAAATGAGCTCCATTGAATATTTACTATTAAAAATATTTCCAATTTGTAATAAAAATGTTTCGTGGCTTAATTCATATTATTACGTATTTTAATGAAAATCTATATTCGATACAATTTACGTTATAATATTTTTTTTCTTCTTCTTCTATTTTTTTTTTTTTTTTTTTTAATATGTCAATGTTGATTTCCATCAATTTAGGAATTTTAATGCATAATATTCGACATTTTTGTTAACATAATATTATAAATTTAAAAATATCTCTAGGCGAAAAAAAAATCAAATACGTCATTGTTCATAGATCAGGGTATTAAAATTATTAAAATATGCATCTTTAGCGTCGTTAATAAATATTACGATAGTTTTGAGTTTTTTTTTTCTAAGAAATGATTGAATAAAATTTTTTCTTAATTATAAAGGGGTATAAATTTTTAAAAATTCATCTATTCTCCAATGCGATTATGATAATAACAGAAGTTAAATTTTTATAAGGCAAATATAATCTCTGTTTCCTTGCAACGTGCTTCGTTCTCTACACACAGAATATTATATTAAAAATTACAGTATTATCGCATATTGTACTTATTGAGTACATGGTTGTAAGGTTGTTAGAAAATTCTTTCTGTACTCATAAAAGATACAATATGAGAACGGTAGGTTTGAGTGAAAGTACGATTTGGCAAAGTTCTTTTAGTAAGTCAAACACGCATTATTTTGGTTTGTAAACAGAGCATTTCACAGATTTTTTTTTCTTCCTTTTTTTCTTTCTTTCTTTTTCTTTTCAAAAACTGGAGAAAGATTCATTCGTTGAAAGTAAGTTACAATTTTGAATATAAGACTTATTTATTGCTCAATTTCGCGCTTTCGTTCTATCTCATAATTCGCCGCTACATTGTGCGTATGTACACTCTGGAATTCATTCGGATTTTCGCGCTTTAACGTATTAATTGCAATTTTTAATTTTTCCATACAAATTTACTTTTATTTTTCTCCTCCAAAGAGATGCTCTTTTAGTTCAATTTCAACACTCACGACTACACTCTTTTATGCTTCTGGAGATTTTTCATGCGTCAATTGAAATGGGAAAAACTCGTTTTCCAATTTGACAAATAGCGATGGCAAATGCAGCGTCGAAAAGTTTGTAAAGAGGGGATGACCGGAAACGAAGAGATAGAAAAAGCTTTAATACAAAAAGTGTTGAACGGGAAAAAGAAACTAATTTTATTCAACAATGGTATGACTTACTTCTCTATATACGATAGTTTGTAAAATTTCAGTAGTTTTAACCAATGTTAAATCTAGCAGTAACGTGTATTTCAGAATGTTTTGCCCAAGAATTTCGGTACCGAAATCCAAGAATATTTTTCAACAAAGATTTCATTTGAGCTTATCTGTAATAATAACAAGTTTTTATTCGACAAAACTTTAAAGATCAATTTTGACATCAGGATTATTCGTGTACTTTTTAAGCGGAGGGATCTCTATATTAAAATACAATGTTCTTTGGTATTAATTTGTATTTAGAAAGTATCAGTACGTTCGCTAAATAAATTTATTAATAAATACATTTATTTAAGTTTAAAACTAAAAAGAGATTGACATAAGAGATAAATTTCATAAATTGAATTTATTCTGTTGTTGTTTAGTTTGTAAGAGGTATATAATCGTTGAAAATCATTGATAAAAGTAAATTTCCTATATTATATGATATATACTATTTGAGGATATCAGTTTAAAATTTCGAATTAAATATGAAATTTAATTTTACAATTTATGCTTTCGTAATGCACTAGCCTACGCATACATTTAATGTTGAAATTCAAATTTTATGATTGCCTAGACTTTTATCGTTGCAGTTGTTAAAGTTCTTCAACTTTTTCACCTCGTTTTATAATAAGTGAAATAGTTGCTATATATATATATATATATATATATATATATAAGTTTTTGAGAAAATTTTTTTAAAAAATTTTAATAAAATCATTATTAAAATGAGAGTGTTTTATTTATAGCATAAGTATAGCGTAAGTACAATTAAACGAGAAATATTGTTCTGGTTATAATTAAAAGTGACTGTATTTCACGTGACATTGTAGCTATACATGTTTTCGTGCATTGAAATACTTCGTTCTTGGTTTAATATGAATATAAATAGAATACCTTGTTGCTGATAATACAGGCATTTTGTATTTTTCGTGAATTTATTGACACCGTATAGATTGGCCTTTTTCTCTTAAATTTTGAATATCAAATAATAATTTCGCCGCTATTATGATGTAATTTTAATTACGACTGCTGTTATGAATGATAACGCTAAAACCTTTATTCCATCACAAGAATTCTAGAGAATTGAAAAAAGCAACTTGATACTTACCCAAAGCCATACCTCTCTATTGTTATAAAAATGATGAAAAGGAAAAATAACAATGTAAAAGTGTAGAATCCAGACGCTCTCTTCCTTCCAAATAGACTTATATAGAGAGGCAGTTTGTTCAACGTCTCGAGTCTTTCCTTTCCAAAGTCCCAAAGTTCCACGAACATAGATAGATACATATAAAAAGAAGGAAGAACGGCTTAAGAGATGCGTGCGTATTTGTGGAGAAGTTTGCACGTGCTTTCACCCACAACACATTTCAGAAACCTTTTCCAGACTCACAATCGTAGAGTAACGTGCATCACGAAAAATCCTCTCATTCTCTTATACAACTCTCTATATACATATACTTGGTCAGGTATATATATACATATATATAAATATATAG